GCCCCCCACCATGCCACGCCAGGGCCGGCAGCTGCCACATAGATCTGTACACGTCCTTGCTCTCGTGCAGATCCCAAAGCACCCGATTGCCCAGCTTCCCCTTATAAGTGCGTGCCCCATCCGTGTTGGTGTTCACCCCAGCCTTGCCAAGCTTACGGAGGGAGATAAGGTTGGCCTTCAGGTCGGGGACGAAGAGAACGTCGTGCAGCACCACCGGCTTGCCATCCGCTCCCTTAAACGCAGCTCGTCCCGCACCAGCCACCTTCAACATGTGTCCAGAGGCGGAGCACACTTCATTGATCGGTGCAGCTCGTACTTCGTCCAGCAGGTCCTTGCGCGGCGTCATCGTCCAAGCAGCGCCTGTGTCCAACACCCAATAGTCTAGGGGGTGCAGCTCTGCTCCAACTTTGGCAGAGGCGTCTCCTTGCTCCCCCTTGTCTCCCACATGGAAGAATTGGCCCGCGGTGCGCTCCTTCTTCTTCTCCGCACCGCCGTTGCCCTTCGGGTTGTTGTCGGACGAATCAGCGACCATGTTGGCGCCGTTTTTCTGGTTCCTCCGCGCGCCGCCATCCTGGTGACGATTCTGGGGGGTCCATCCATCGGGTTTCTTATAGCACAAAAACCAGGGGTGCCCTTCCTTCTCACAATACCAGCAACTCCCTTTCATTTTGCCACCAGCACCCGACTTGCCCCCACGTCCAGATTTCGCACCGCGACCCCAACCGGTACCTCCTTGTTGGTCGTTGGAGTCATCGTCTTTCTTTGCACCGCGTCCAGCACCACCGAAGCCACGTCCTCTGCCACGTCGGCTCCCTTGCATCCCGTAGCCGCTGCTGCCGTCGTCTCCACCCCTCAGTTGGCGGCGACGGAAGTCCTCCTCCAGAATCTTCGTCCGCACCCACTCGAGCGTCCACAAACTCTGGTTCTGCGGCAGGCTCAATCCGCTCGTAAATTGAAGCCACGATTCCGGCAGCAGCGAGAGCATCTTCAAGCACTTGGTCTGCTCCGGGTAGGTGATTCCCGCGGTCGCCAACTTCGCGTAGAGGTCGCGCATCTTGTCCAGGACTGGTTGCACCGGCTCTCCCTCGCTCAGGCGCAACGCGGACAGCTCCCTCTCCAGCATCAACGTTGCGACAACGGAGGTCGGGGCGTGCAGCTCCTTCAACACGGTCCACACGCCTTCGGACCGCATTCACCTCCGGCAGCAGGTGCATGACGTGGTGACACTGGTTCAGCTCCAAACTCTGCGACATCAAATAGTAGCCAGCCGAGGAGCGCTCGTCCCATCTGCCCTGCAGCGTGGGGTCACTCGGTCTAGGCTCCTCCCCAATCATTAGTTTCAGCAAACCGATCTGACGGAAATATAATTGCATTTTCCAGGCCCAATCATCATAGCCCTCACCATTGAACTTCTCGACGGTGAAATTCTTCAGCACCTCCTTGACAAGCGAGCCCTGGTTTGTTCGCGCTCCCCTTGGCGCTGAAAGACCAGAATCTTGGCTGCCGCTACGATCTTGGGCTGAAGATTCACCAGCTCCCGCCGAGGTGTTGCCCGCCATAGCTACCTATAACGAGGATCACTATAACGCAGCTCTGATACCAGCTTGTTGGTGTAAGGGCCTAATAAATTCAAGCTATTAGGACTTAATCAAACTTAAAACCTCTCCTCGGGGTCACCTCCAAGGGTCCCTGGGTGCCTGGTACAAGACCAGCCCCTATCCTCGGATCCGAGTTTGTAGAGAGAGGGATCAAGAAGGACTTAGTCAAAACAGCAAGAGTACCTTGAACGTCGCGCAGCGTGCCGTGCAGACCGTCGATCGGATTAAGCTGAGAATTCGCTATATCGAAGCTCGCTCCAAGAGCTTTAAAATGAGCCAAGTTGCCTCGCGAAAAGTTCTGCCATTACTAAGTTATGGCTCGGAAAGCGTTTGCCTAGCGTTGGAGTGCTAGCATACTAGCGTTGACTCGGTAGCATTCCGCCGTCGAATAGCGCAGAAACGAAATTCCAGCGAGGAAGGAATTCGCTTGAATCAATTTGACTATATTCAGGTACAAACAGAGAAGGATTAAATAGTTCTAGCTAGCAAGGACCTTGGGAATCAACCTGGGAACAACAGGGATGATCCCAAATAATTCCAAGCAACAGAACCAACCTGGCTGGACAAAATAGCAGGTGGTAGGTTGGTAAACAACCTCTGGTTCTGTTTTTCCAACCTGGGAAAACAACAACCAGGTTCAGGTTCTAAAAACAGAACCTGTTTTTTCTTTGCCTAACCAGCCAAATGCTGGTTCCGCTGGTTTCCCCTGGCCTTGTAGCATGCAGATACAGACAAACAATATCCAACCTTCACCGAAATTGTACCCCTATAGTGCCTTCCCTGCTACACTATAGTTAACCAAACAAAACAGTACAATTTCGAGTTGGATAGAACTGAATCTGCGCAATCAACTCAACCGAACTGCAAAGCTTCCATCTTGGGTTCCTTTGCGAGCTCGTCCTTTCTGCTTGCACTGTTCATAGCGCGTACAATGTTGTGCCGAAGCGCATATTGCGCGAGTACCTGCAAATGCATCAAGCGAAAATTGCGAAAGCAAACAAACACACGAACATTCCATTCACACCAAATGCAATGCATTCGCACACGCATACTCGTACAAACAGACGGCAGGATGTCGTGCAATGTAAATTTGCACCCAACAGTGGGCGTATCCGCTGAAGCAGAAGGACCACGCCGCCTCCACGATACGGGACGATTGGCTGCCATTCGTGGAGAAGCAGGCGGAGTGTGTAGTGAAGCGGATTAGGACAGACCGGGGTGGTGAGTTCCTTGGAGCTGAAATGACGGCCTGGCTCAAGAAGCAGGGCATCCAGAGAGAGCTGACCACGGCTTATACCCCACAGTCCAATGGTGTAGCAGAACGGGCAAACCGGACCATTCTGGAGACAGCTAGGGCGCTGCTCATAGAATCTGGGCTGAGCAATTCTATGTGGCCTCATGCTGTCCGGCACGCCACTGTCGCTAGGAACAGGGTGCTCACCAAGGTTGGGGATGACTCGTGGGTGCCTTTGGAGAGGTGGCTTGGGAGGAAGCCGCCGGTGGATATGCTGAGGGTGTTCGGTTGCATGGCAGTCGCCCACGTCCCCAAGACCTACCGCAGTAAGTTGGGGGCGAGTGCAATCTGGTGTGTGCATTTGGGGCTGGCTGCTGAGAGCAAGGGATGGCTGCTGTGGGAACCATCCAAGGGTGTGTTGTTTGACAGCAGGGATGTGAAATTCATTGAGGGCATGATGTATGGGAGCTGGGAGAAACAGCCGGAGGCAAGGGTGTCCCAGCAGATGGAGCAGATCACCATGCAGCTGGACCTGACTCCTAGTGTGTGGGAGGAGGGAGAGGAGGCAGCTGCTGGAAATGGTGATGGAGAGAAGGTACAGGAGGCATCTGCTGGTGGAGAAAATGGTGTGGAAACTGGCGGCAGCACTAGTGGAGCTGCTGGACCCGAGGGAGGAGAGAAGCAGCAGGGAAAAACTAAGAAGCCGAAGGGTGTCGTTATGAAGGGATGGGAGACACCCGTCTCCAGGCCAGGACGTACCCGTATGGCTACTAAGAAGCTGACTGCAGGAACTGATGCAGCAGAGCAGCAGCTAGGGACCGAAGAGGCATTGCTGATTCTACCTCATGGCTATGACCCGGATGAGGAGGATGAGCCTGCGTACTGTTTTCTTGCCCCTGCACCAGAGGAACCAGCTAGCATGGAGGAGGCATTAGCTGGACCAGATAGGGACAAGTGGCTGGCTTCTAGGGATGCAGAGTACCAGAGTCTGCTGGAGAATAGGACATGGGATCTGGTGGTGCTGCCTGATGGGAAGAAAGCGATACAATGCAAGTGGGTGCTGAGGATCAAGACCGATGACAAGGGGCAGGTCACCATCTACAAGAGTAGGCTGGTGGCGAAGGGGTTTATGCAGAAGGAGAAGCAGGACTTCAACGAGATCTTTGCTCCCACTGCCAAACCCCCTACCCTCCGTGTCTTGTTGGCAGATGCAGCTGTTAGTGGGAAATTCATCATTCAGATGGATATTTCAACGGCATTCCTGAATGGGATTTTAGAGGAGGATGTGTACATGACGCAGCCGCCTGGGTATGAGGATGGTACGGGCAGGGTGTGCAAGCTCAACAAGTCCATCTACGGCTTGAAGCAGGCGCCACGCTGCTGGTACCAGAAGTTGGCAGCTGTTTTAGAGGAGATGGGATTCAGGACCAGCAGCTGTGATGAGAGCCTCTTTCTCAAGGGCGAGGGGGAGAAGCTGGTGCTGTTTCTGGTCTATGTGGACGACATTCTTCTCTTCAGCAGCAGCATGAAGGAGATCCAGAAAGTGCAGCAGCAACTGATGGAAAACTTCAAGTGCAAGAACCTTGGGGAGGTAAAGTACTACCTCGGGATGCACGTGGAGAGGGATCCAGATCACAGGTGGTTGAAGCTGCACCAGGAGAAGTTCATCAAGGAGCTGGGGGAGAAGTATGGGATTGAGATGAGGTAAAGCAGCAGCAAGACACTGGAACTCCTCCTGCCTGTCCTCAAGGACGTCCGTGCTAAGAGCACACTCACCCCCAACGGACGGAGGACAGACAGACTCAGACTCAGCAACAAGACTAGTGGCGTAGTCTAGGCGACAGACAGCAGCAAAGTCAACAAGCTCAGTAATTAAGGCAGACGCAGTAGTAGACTCAAACGACGGGTCAGTGACAACAGTGGCTAACAGATGCGTGACAGTAGGGTGCTCAGCACGAAACCGGTCAGACTCAGGGTCCGGAACGGCAGGCAGAGAGGACGCAGGGGGGGACGGCAGAGGAGCAGACTGCGGAGCAGAGGAAGGACGACGGACAACAAGGTGTGCGCTGGGGACAGCCGGCTGACGTGCACGAGCGACACGACTACCGGTATGTCCAGAACAAACAGGCGAGACAGGACGCGACGCAGGCTCACAACGCTCAGCAAGACTACCTGTCTGCTCAGTGTAAGGGGAAGGAGCAGGCAGCGGTGAGCCAGGCGGTAACGGAAGACCAGTGGACGACGGGAGAGTAAGAACCTGACGAAGAACAGAGTCAGGCGGCGGCAGCGACGACGGAGACGGCGGAGCGAAGAACAGTCGTGTCGGCGCAGCTGCACCAGCTCCGGCAGCTCCAGCAGCTCTAACAGCTGCAGCAGCTCCAGAACCTCCAGCACCTCCAGCAGCTCCAGTGCCTCCAGCAGCTCCAGAAGCTCCAGCCTCAGAACCGGTACCTCCAGCGCCAGCAGCTCCAGAACCAGCGTCACCAGCAGCAGCACCCCCAGAACCGGCACCTGCAGTCCCAGGGTCTCCAACCGCAGTGTCTCCCGCAGCAGCACCCCCAGAACCAGCACCTCCGGTCCCAGGGTCTCCAACCGCAGTGTCTCCCGCAGTAGCACCCCCAGAACCAGCACCTCCAGTCCCAGGATCTCCTACCGCAGCGTCTCCCACAGCAGCACCTCCAGGCGCAGCACCCCCAGCCCCAGCAGCTCCAGTACCTCCAGCAGCAGAGCCCCGGGCTCCAGCAGCGCGACCCTGACGGCGACCGTACCAGTCGTGCAGCTGCTGAGTGGTGAGGGGCACACGCGGACGAAGGCGGCCACTCCAAGTAGGCCGCGCACCAGCAGTCCCAGTACCCTCAAGCGTCTCACCTCCAGACTCAGCACCCCCAGACTCCGCACACACAGGCTCAGTACCCCCAGACACAGCACCCACAGGCGTAGGACCTCCAAGCTCTTCACGCGCAGGCTTAGCACCCCCAGACTCCGCACCGCAAGACGCAGCACCTCCAGGAGCACCACCCCCAACAGCACGAGAACCAACAGTAACCGGCTGCAGAGGCGGCGAAGAAGGTCGCGGAGGGAACCCCGGAGGGGTCTCCAAGCGTGGCGCGAGGCGGTAGGCCGCCGGGGCGTCAGCAGCAACGTCACCCCCCTCAGGTGAGCCAGAGGTGTCGGAAGTGACCTCCAAAGGCTCAGCCAAGGGGGGGGGGTCTACCTGAGACACACCTGAAGGAGCAGGACCCTGAGGGGGGAGGGGGTCTACCGGGGGGGGACCTGGCGTAAGGAAGAGCGGCGGGGGAGGTAGGGGGACAGCGCGGTAGGGGAAGAGACGGTAGTACGGAACCGACTCGTCAAACGTGACGTCCTGGGAGGACAGAACACGGCGCGAGGTGGGGTGGTAAAACTGCCAACCAGGCGCGTCAGGGGGGAAGCCAAGGAAGACGCAGGGAACAGCACGGGAGGACAACTTGTTCGTAGACAAGTCTCGGACAAAATCCAGAGATCCCCAGACACGAAACGCAGACGCATCGCCAACCTGCCCTGTCCACCTCAGAGTGGGGGAGGTGTCGGGCATGGAGACCCGGGGCTGAAGGTTGATCTGATGCGCCGCGTACTGAACTGCAAACGGCCACAGAAAATGGGGAGCAGCCGCATGGATCATGGACGTGCGAGCGACATCCATGACCATGCCAATGCGGCGCTTAGCAATCCCATTTTGCTGCGGAGAGGCCGGAAGCGTGAACGTCTGGCGGATGCCCCTCGCATGACAGAAGGCTCGTAGAGGGCCGGAGGAGAACTCTCCGCCTCTGTCAGAGTGCAGACGCAGAACAGGAAAGTCCGAGCCGAAACTCTTCCTGAGCTGGAGACGAGCAGCGCGGATCCAGTCGATCAACACCTCAGTGACCTCATCCTTGCGGCGCAAGGGGAAGACTGTGGTGTAACGCGAGTAGTCGTCAACCACCAGCAGGAAGTAGCGCTCGTGACCCTGTCCACGGACGCGGGCTGGGCCCCACACGTCCATGTGAAGAGTCTGCAGCGGAGCCTCTGTCGGCGGAAACTCGGAGGAGTGAGGAGCGGCGCGCTGCCGCCCCTCGACGCAGGGAACGCAGGTAGGGGCAGGCCCCGGAGGGAGGGGAGGGAGAGACCGGGGGAGACCAGAGACCAGGACACGAGAGGCCATGCCTCGGAGACGAGGCAGGGAGGGGTGACCAAGACGGTGGTGCCAGAGAAGAGTCTCTTGCGACAGGAGGCGACACGAGCAGGGGGCAGACTCAGGACCAAACCGGTAGCTGCGTCGGGTCAGGTGTTTGCTGCAGCGTCTCGGTCTGGTCCTGAGTCTGCCCCCTGCTCCTGTCGCCTCCTGTCCCACGAGACTCTTCTCTGGCACCACCGTCTTGGTCACCCCTCCCTGCCTCGTCTTCGAGGCATGGCCTCTCGTGTCCTGGTCTCTGGTCTCCCCCGGTCCCTCCCTCCCCTCCCTCCGGGGCCTGCCCCTACCTGCGTTCCCTGCGTCGAGGCAGCGCGCCGCTCCTCACTCCTCCGAGTTTCCGCCGACAGAGGCTCCGCTACAGACTCTTCACATGGACGTGTGGGGCCCAGCCCGCGTCCGTGGACAGGGTCACGAGCGCTACTTCCTGCTGGTGGTTGACGACTACTCGCGTTACACCACAGTCTTCCCCTTGCGCCGCAAGGATGAGGTCACTGAGGTGTTGATCGACTGGATCCGCGCTGCTCGTCTCCAGCTCAGGAAGAGTTTCGGCTCGGACTTTCCTGTTCTGCGTCTGCACTCTGACAGAGGCGGAGAGTTCTCCTCCGGCCCTCTACGAGCCTTCTGTCGTGCGAGGGGCATCCGCCAGACATTCACGCTTCCGGCCTCTCCGCAGCAAAATGGGATTGCTAAGCGCCGCATTGGCATGGTCATGGATGTCGCTCGCACGTCCATGATCCATGCGGCTGCTCCCCATTTTCTGTGGCCGTTTGCGGTTCAGTACGCGGCGCATCAGATCAACCTTCAGCCCCGGGTCTCCATGCCCGACACCTCCCCCACTCTGAGGTGGACAGGGCAGGTTGGCGATGCGTCTGCGTTTCGTGTCTGGGGATCTCTGGATTTTGTCCGAGACTTGTCTACGGACAAGTTGTCCTCCCGTGCAGTTCCCTGTGTCTTCCTTGGCTTCCCCCCTGACGCGCCTGGTTGGCAGTTTTACCACCCCACCTTGCGCCGTGTTCTGTCCTCCCAGGACGTCACGTTTGACGAGTCGGTTCCGTACTACCGTCTCTTCCCCTACCGCGCTGCCCCCCTTCTCACCTCCCCCGCCGCTCTTCCTTGCGCCAGGTCCCCCCCCGGTAGACCCCCTCCCCCCTCAGGGTCCTGCTCCTTCAGGTGTGTCTCAGGTAGACCCCCCCCCCTTGGCTGAGCCTTTGGAGGTCACTTCCGACACCTCTGGCTCACCTGAGGGGGGTGACGTTGCTGCTGACGCCCCGGCGGCCTACCGCCGCGCACCACGCTTGGAGACCCCTCCGGGGTTCCCTCCGCGACCTTCTTCACCGCCTCTGCAGCCGGTTCCTGTTGACTCTGGTGCTGTTGGGGGTGGTGCTCCTGGAGGTGCTGCGTCTGGGGGTGCTGAGCCTGTGCGTGCGGAGCCTGGGGGTGCTGAGTCTGGAGGTGAGACGCTTGAGGGTACTGGGACTGCTGGTGCGCGGCCTACTTGGAGTGGCCGCCTTCGTCCGCGTGTGCCTCTCACCACTCAGCAGCTGCACGACTGGTACGGTCGCCGTCAGCGTCGCGCTGCTGGAGCCCGGGGCTCTGCTGCTGGAGGTACTGGAGCTACTGGGGCTGGGGGTGCTGCGCCTGGAGGTGCCGTTGCTGGAGACACTGAGGCTGGAGACCTTGGGACTGGAGGTGCTGGTTCTGGGGGTGCTCGTGCTGTGGGAGACCCTGAGGTTGGAGACCCTGGGACTGGAGGTGCCGATTCTGGGGGTGCTGCTGCTGGTGACGCTGGTTCTGGTGGTGCTGCTGCTGGGGGTACCGGCTCTGCGACTGGAGCTGCTGGAGCTGCTGGAGGCACTGGAGCTGCTGGAGTTGCTGGAGACCCTGGGGCTGCTGGAGGTGCTGGAGCTGCTGGAGGCGCTGGAGCTGCTGGAGGTGCTGGAGCTGCTGGAGCTGCTGGTGCTGGTGCAGCTGCACCGACGCGACTGTTCTTCGCTCCGAGGTCTCCGTCGTCACTGCCGCCGCCTGACTCTGCTCTTCGTCAGGTTGTTACTCTCCCGTCGTCTACTGGTCTTCCGCTACAGCCTGGCTCACCGCTGCCTGCTCCCTCTCCTTACACTGAGCAGACAGGTAGTCTTGCTGAGCGTCGTGAGCCTGCGTCGCGTCCAGTCTCGCCTGTTCGTTCTGGTCGTGCTGGTCGTCGTGTTTCTCGTTCACGTCAGCCGACTGTCCCCGGCACACACCTTGTTGTCCGTCGTCCTTCCTCTGCTCTGCAGTCTGTTCCTCTGCCGTCTCCCCCTGCGTCCTCTCTGCCTATCGTTCCGGACCCTGCGTCTGACCGGTTTCGTGCTGAGCACCCTACAGTTACGCGTCTGCTCGCCACTGTCGTCACTGACCCGTCGTTTGAGTCTGCTGCTGCGTCTGCCCTGGTCGCTGAGCTTGTTGACTTTGCTGCTGCTTGTCGTCTAGACTACGCTGCCAGTCTTGTTGCTGAGTCTGTCTGTCCTCCGTCCGTCGGGGGTGAGTGTGCTCTTGGCACGGACGTTCTTGAGGACAGGCAGGAGGACCTTGAGTGTCTCGCAGCCGCTGCGCCCCATCTCGTGGCCATGCTGCTTGCCCCTAAGGGAGACCCGGATGCACCAGACATCCCGACCCCGCGCTCTTACGCTGAGGCGATCGCGGGTGAGTACTCCTCTCAGTGGCAGACAGCCATGGACGCAGAGATGGCATCCTGGAAGTCCACTGGCACTTACGTCGATGAGGTTCCCCCTCCTGGGGCGAACATCGTCGATGGCATGTGGATTTTCAGGGTGAAGCGGCCGCCAGGTTCTCCGCCTGTCTTCAAGGCTCGTTACGTTGCTAGAGGATTCAGTCAGCGAGAGGGAGTCCACTTATTCCAGACCTTCTCCCGTACCCCGAAGATGACTACTCTTCGGGTGCTGCTGCACGTTGCCGCTCAGCGTGACTACGAGCTTCACTCTCTTGACTTCAGCACAGCCTTCTTACAAGGCAGCCTGCACGAGGAGATCTGGCTGCGCCGCCCTCCTGGCTTCACTGGGGCGTTCCCTCCTGGTACCCAGTGGAGCCTCCGGCGGCCAGTCTACGGTCTCCGCCAGGCGCCTCGTGAGTGGCACGATACACTGAGGACTACACTTGCGGCTCTTGGGTTCGCTCCTTTGACTGCTGACCCGTTGCTGTTTCTGCGCACCGACACTTTGCTGCCGCCGTTCTACATCCTCGTGTACGTCGACGATTTGGTCTTTGCCACTGCTGACACTGAGGCTCTTGCCCTGGTGAAGTCCGAGCTGCAGAAGAGACACACGTGCAAAGACCCGGGTGAGCTGCGCAGTTACCTTGGCTTGCAGATCACCCGGGACAGAGCACACCGCACCATCACACTGACTCAGTCACACATGGTGCAGCAGGTCCTTCAGCGCTTCGGCTTCACCTGGTCCTCAGCACAGGCCACTCCCCTGGTGACAGGTCACTCGCTCTCAGCTCCACCTTCGGACGAGTCCGTAGAGCCGAGTGGTCCTTACCCAGAGCTAGTTGGCTGCCTCATGTACCTGATGACCTGCACTCGTCCTGACCTCGCGTACCCTCTTGGCCTTCTGGCTCGCTATGTGGCTCCTGGTCGGCACCGACCTGAGCACATGGCTGCTGCTAAGAGGGTACTGCGCTACTTGTGCAGTACATCAGGCATGGGGCTAGTGCTTGGTGGGAAGAGCCCAGTTGTTCTCACTGGGCACTCAGACGCTTCTTGGGTTGACGACCAGGCTACTCAGCGGTCGTCACAGGGTTAAGTTTTTGGCAATTCAAGACTTCAGCCTTGGCTCTGGTTCAGTTTTGTGGCGTTCTACTCGCTCGTCTTCAGTTCTCAGCTCCAGTTGTGAGGCTGAGATCTATGCCACAGCCATGGCTGCACAGGAGTTGCGCTGGCTCACCTACCTGCTGACCGACTTGGGAGAGTGGCCTCGTTCTCCTCCAGTACTGTACGTCGACAACAAGGCCGCCATTGCCTTGTGTGAGGAGCACAGACTGGAGCATAGAACGAAGCACATTGCTCTGCGTTACTTCCTGGCTCGAGAGTTGCAGCAGCGAGGCCAGCTTCGTCTCCGTCACGTGGACACTCGGGCCAACACTGCTGATATATTCACCAAGGCACTTCCGTCTGGTGATCATCAGCGCTTTTGTACTTTGTTGGGCCTTGTGCCGACGTTTCTGTTGGGTGCAAATGCACATTGCACGACATCCTGCCGTCTGTTTGTACGAGTATGCGTGTGCGAATGCATTTGTGTGTGAATGGTGTGTTCGTGTGTTTGTTTGCTTTCGCATTTTTCGCTTGATGCATTTGCAGGTACTCGCGCAATGTGCGCTTCGGCACAACATTGTACGCGCTATGAACAGTGCAAGCAGAAAGGACGAGCTCGCAAAGGAACCCAAGATGGAAGCTTTGCAGTTCGGTTGAGTTGATTGCGCAGATTCAGTTCTATCCAACTCGAAATTGTACTGTTTTGTTTGGTTAACTATAGTGTAGCAGGGAAGGCACTATAGGGGTACAATTTAGGTGAAGGTTGGATGTTGTTTGTCTGTATCTGCATGCTACAAGGCCAGGGGAAACCAGCGGAACCAGCATTTGGCTGGTTGGGCAAAGACAAAACAGGTTCTGTTTTTAGAACCTGAACCTGGTTGTTGTTTTCCCAGGTTGGAAAAACAGAACCAGAGGTTGTTTACCAACCTACCACCTGCTATTTTGTCCAGCCAGGTTGGTTCTGTTGCTTGGAATTATTTGGGATCATCCCTGGTTGTTCCCAGGTTGATTCCCAAGGTCCTTGCTAGCTAGAACTATTTAATCCTTCTCTGTTTGTACCTGAATATAGTCAATTGATTCATGCGAATTCCTTCCTCGCTGGAATTTCGTTTCTACGCGGTTCGTTGGCGGAATGCTACCCGAGTCAACGCTAGTACGCTAG